TCTCAGAGTATTTACCAGTTTTTCTCATCCCCTGCTTCCCTTGTGTCTCTCTCATCCTACACAGTCTCTTGACTGCAACGCTGTTCTCTATTTCAAATCTGTTTTGCTCTCTTTCAAGCACTGCTCTTGGCTTTCATGCCTCTTATGTCAGCCCCTTGTGTGCCACTGCTTTCCCTACTTATGGCATCATAACTAGTGGTTCAAAAGAAGTAATTATCAAAATGCAATATGGTTTGTTTTTTTTTTTTTCTCTTTTCTCTCCTTGATTAGTTAAAAGAAGCAAAATTTCTCATCTTCTTCCACACCTCTTCTGTGATCCCTCTGGCTGCCTCCATGACTCCAGCTCTACCACTATCCAGAAAAATCTGTGCCTTCCTTTTCACTGTGTGTGCCTCAGTTTCCTTGATTTGTTGCTTGAGAAGGAAAAGCAGATCCAGGGGTGAAAGCCAGTGCTAAATACTGCAGCCTCTGCTCTATTCAGGATCGCTTTTCCACTGTGCTATGTAAACCAAAAAACCTCTTTGCTCAGGAGGCATTGAAAAGGGAACAAGGCACTTGAAGATGGGTCAAAATATGAATCCTAGAAGGTAGAAGTAGCTTGGGGTGAAAGTAGGTGGCTAAATCACATCTGTCTTCTACATCACAACTTAGCAAAAAGAAGGGAAGGCAGTGAGAGTTGCTGGTGTTAGATTGTTGAGGGAGGTCAACACAAAGAAGGAAGCAGTAAAATTCAGACAGGTTAGAAAAGGGAGATGAAGCTTTTCACAGCCAGAAATGCAAAAGTTCTGTTTTGAAGGAACAGAGATGTTAGGCTTTATCTATTGTTAAATAATTTCCCCTGATTTAAGAAAACTTGAACTTCCCAGAGCCAAGTCCTTCTGAGGATGTGCTGCCAGTAAGAACAGAATCTGAGGTTTGGTTGGTCCTTCTGCAAGTTTTTCTTCCTTTTGATTCCTTACAAGGGAAGCCTGCAGCTCCTGCAGAACCTAGTTTATAGGAACATAGTCCACTGGGCTTTAGCTGAAAGCCAGCTGGTGGAAATGCAAGGAAGTTAAGAGTTCTTTTAAAAGAGATCTTTATTAATGATAATATCCCTTCAGCTGGTGAGGAACTGCCCTGTGCCTGTCAGTAATCTATAATCTTTCAGAGGCAGGCTACAAGAGATCTACCTGTCATCAACCTAGCATTGCATTTAAACTTTAGATCAGGCACAGGTGACAGGTGTTTCTGGAGAAAGTGGAAAACACTCCTCCCTTCTTTTTTGTTTCTAGATTAAATGATTTGTCATACAGGAATGGGGATATGCAGTCCCTGCAACTCTACAATTTTTTTTTTAAATTTGCTTTTGGCACTTTGAATTTGGTTTGTTTGGGGTTTTTTTTGTGTTGGTTTTTTTTTGGTTTTTTTTTGGGTTTTTTGTGTGTGTGTTTTTTTTTTTTGTTTGTTTTTGTTTTTTTTTTGTTTTGTTTTGTTTTGTTTTTCTCCAGAAAGTGAGCTCACAAATCCACAGAGGACCTGGAACAATGCAAACAAGAGGCTTTGATTGGGTCCATCAACCTCAGTGTGGCTCTACATGGTACAAGGACTCAACCTTCAGCCAGTTTGGGAAGAAAGGATGAGAAAAAGCACAGAGGCAGGGGAGGAGGGTAAGTATGGAAGGTAGAGAGCAGCCAGGACTGGATATTGAGCTAAAAAATCAGTGATAGGGGAAGTCTTACCAGCAGCCTAGGGGAAAAAAAAAAATGATCAGAGGAAGAATACAGCATACTTGGAAAGGACACTGGCCAGAGTAGGCTTTGGTTTTGTTAGTTATGGACAGGAAACTCATAGCCAAAGGTGGCTTGGAAGAGAAGGAGCACAGGGATCAAAGAAGAGGAAATGCCATCGTGTATTCACCAAGTCTCTGCCTACTGTTGAATAGCAGTGGGAGAGCAGAGCTTTTTGTGCTTGAATAAGAAGTTTAAAGAAGTCTTTTAAGAGCAGTGTAAGAATCTAGAAAAAGGAAACAACCTTAAGTGATTGTGGACAGCCCCTAGCATCCTGGAATAAAAAGAACAATATAAGAGAAAACACAGTCCAACAGAAATAATGGGGACGATAGAGGGAGCCAAATTAATTCAAAAAAACATTAGGAAAAATTCGTACCGTAGCTCTTCTGACGAAAAGAGGGATTAGGGTCTTAATTTAAAGTTCACAAAGTTCTTAGCAGGGTAGAGAGTGGGGATACTACAAAGCTGTTTGACCCAGTGTCAAGAACAAGCAAAGATGCAGCAGGAAGATAAGCCACAGCTGGACATTGCAGGAATTCAGGGAGGAATGTCAGCAGAGAGCAAGACAGAAATGCAACATAAACTACTCTTACATGGCCAGGGGACCAAAAGTTAGCTCTGTGGAAGAACTGGGCATTAGGTACTATTGTAGAATTCTGTAAGTAGCCCAAAGGAAAGTGTGCCTGAGGATTTGTCATCTCTAGATCTTCCACAGAGAACTGTTGGTATTTTCTAGTGATCCTGCATGTTGACAAAGTGCCCTGAGCTGGCCTGCCCTCTCCTCTCCCAGTTACTGCAGGGAGCTGGAGCTGGCTCAATCCAGTGCAGGCAGACACAATACACAAGAGATCAGATCCTGTCTTGCTCAAGACCAAGTCTTGCAGTCATTGTGCCTTGAAACACAGGCAGGGTTTCAGTATAGCATGTTGGTCTCCTTCAAACAATAAATGAACCAAGTCAAAAGCTTTTAGGGAAAACAGATGCAAAGGCTGAACTTAGAAAGATAACTAACAAACCACTTAAAAAGTAGAGTACATTTTGGCAAAAACCTTGGTGAGGAAGGCATAGGAAATCTATTTTCTGTGTGAAATTTACAGCGAAGGAAAGCGAGGTGTCTGAAGAAAAATCAGGTGTCTGATGACACCTCCTGTGCCATCCTCTTAGCCATGCCATTTCTCAAGTGACCCTCACAGACCCCCAAAGAGCACAGCAGTTGCCACACCAGATGAGCCTGGTAGCCTTCCTAATCCAGGCTTCTCACTCCAACAGTTGCTACCCTCTGATACTTCAAAGAAAGGTGTAAGAAACCCCATAGTGGACAATTATAGAATAACCCACCCACAAGGGAAGTTTTTCCCTAATCCCTTGCCATCGGTTAGTGGTTATATTGTGCCTTGAAGCCTGACAGTTTATATCCCTTCTAAAATTTATTTATATCCTGTCTAATGTGACCATGAATGTTCTTGGTATCCATATAAATGTCTAATCCTTTTCTGAATCCTGCTAATCTCCTGGCCTCAATGAAACCTAGTGGTAACAAATGCCATGTGTTAATTACACATGGTACAAATATTTCCTTGCACCATTTTAAACTCGCTTCCTTCCAATTTCGCTGGTATCCCTTGATCCTGCAATAGGAAAAAGGGCAATGTAATTAGAGCTTGTTCCTTCTTGCTGAGCCACGCTGCTGCTCCTTGATTTGTTTCTTCTCTAAACTAGCTTGTTCTCATCCTCAGCCAGTTTTCCCTGGTCGGGCTGTTAGGCAGTGGCCTGAGACACAGCACAGAGCTTATACCTTCACCTTATTCTCTGCTGATATGTTCATTTTGAAGGGAAAAAGGGAGAGGAAGAGGTCTCAGAAGTGCTGGTCGGGGACACTGAAATCTGACTGCTTTGTGTTAGCAGCAATAGGATGGCACTGACTGATGCCACCAGCCTTTCCCTCCAAGTCAGAGACAGAGCAGGGTACCTGCAATGCGTTTTCCCCCTCAGGCTGCTCCTGAAAGGGGATATTCCCCCTCCCACTCCAACCCAGGCATTTCACTGCTTCCCTGCATCCACGCTAGTTAAGACCAGGCTGTGGGATTAGTCCAGTTCTGAAGGAATTGCCCTCAGCCACAGCCTAACCCTGCTCGGCCGTGACTGTGGCCGTGCTCCAGTTTCACACTGGTGTCACTGGAGGTAGCCTAAGCTGGGCACAGGGATCCTCTGCAGCTGTTTCGAAGCTGGATCGTGGTGGCCACAGAGAGTTGTCAGGTGCTGCCGGGACAGCACACGCGGTCACCGCTGCTCGGTCTTTCACTGGAACTCTGTCCCGTCGAGGCAGCTCCACAAGCAGGTAGTTAATTCCTGCTGGTCGCGGAACGTTTTCCCGCAATACAATTCAAAACGGGGCAGCGTTGCTCTTCATTCCCGAACCAGGAGGAACCGGGAGCGTGGGTGACACGCAGAGGTGGCACAGGAGGAGTGGGGGGACAGGGAGCGTGGGAGACACACAGAGGTGTCCCACGGCACAGGAGGAATGGGGGGACAGGGAGCGTGGGTGACACACAGAGGTGTCCCACGGCACAGGAGCGCATCCGGCTCCTCATGGCAGCCGCACGCGGAGAACAAGAAGCGCCGCTTGGGCTCCCTCACTCACAGGCGCTAAGTGGGAGCAGAAACCCTGGGGTATTCCCAGGGGTTCGCTGCGCCAGGAGCCATCCCCGGCAGCAGCCGCTGCCAGCCCGGGAACCGGCACCGGGAGCGAGACCAGCGGAGCCGCCGCCTGAGGGACCGCCCGCAGACCCCGCCCCCCGCGCTAGCCCCGCCCCGATGGGCGTGGCCGGGCGGGCGCCGGGGGCCTGTTGTTGTGATGAGTGCCGGCCCCGCCCCCTCCTCGTGCACGGCCGCGCGCGGCCCCGCCCTCACGCCTTTTGTCCCCTCCCCGCGCCCCGCCCCGCCGGGACGGCTCCGCCCCGCCCCCCTCCCGATTGCGCCTTCCCATTGGTGCTCGCTCACCGGGACACGCCCCCCCGCGCGCGGAGCCCCGCCCCGCCCGCGCGGCCCCCCCTGCTCCCATCTGTTCCCGGCGGCGCGGCCGCAACTGCGCGGGGCGCGGGAGGCGGAGGGCGGCGAGGGCGATGAGGATGGGCCCGCGCAGCGGCGGCCGCCCGCGGTAGGGGGGGCAGCGGCAGCAGCAGCGCCCCCGCCGGCCCTGAGCCG